AAAATTTGGGAAATACACATACAACCTTGATACGCAGAAAACTTTTTTTTTAAAGATTTTATTTATTTGACAGAGAGAGACACAGCAAGAGAGGGAACACAAGCAGGGGGAGTGGGAGAGGGAGAAGCAGGCAATCTGCTGAGCAGGGAGCCTGACGTGGGGCTCGATCCCAGAACCCTGGGAACATGACCTGAGCCGAAGGCAGACACTTAACGACTGAGCCACCTAGGTGCCCCATGCAGAAAACATTTTTAACCAACACTGGCCACTCTGAAGATATGAAAGAAAAGATAGATATATTTGACTATAAAATTTTTTTTAAATTTTAGTAAAAGTTATGAACAAGTCAGTAGACAATAGGTCTTGGGGGGAAATTGCACTATACATTAGTATGTTAATGCAGTATAACAAATAGTTAACATTTGTGATAATAAAAGGGTTTTTGTAATTAAAAAAGTAAAAGAGCCCAAAGAAAAATGGGCAAAACATATGAACAGTCAAATCTCAAAACATAAATGCAATAGCCAACAGGCATTTGAAAAGATGTTCAACCTAAGAAATAAAAGGAATGCAATTAACGATGCAGTATCACTCTATACCTAACTAAATTGGCAAAAATTAGAAGAACAAGATAAAACATCGATATGAGAACAGGGAGAAGGGCACTTGCATATGTTGATAGTAGAAATGTTTGAAGAGTTCTGGCCTTTCTGGAAATTATTCCCTTCATTCCAGTAATATCCCTCTTGAGAATCTGTCCCATAGGAATAAAAGCACCAGTATGTAATGATATGTATGTGATAATACAGAATCTTATGTAGTCATTAAAATGAACGAATTGGGGCACCTGGCTCAGTGGCTCAGTTGGTTAAGTGTCCAACTCTTGATTTAGGCTCAGGTCATGATCTCAGTGTGGGCGCTAGGCGTGGAGCCTGCTTGAGATCCTCTCTCTCTCCCTCTGCCCTCCCCTCTAGTCCCTCTCTAAAATAAAAAGAAAAATGAATTGAAACTATGCTAACTGACTTAGAATTCTACTAGGTGCTAATGAGAGAGAAACGTGTGTGTAATTTCCCATTTTTGTAAAACAAGAATGACCAAGAAAACCTTTACTTGCATATATATATGTGTGTGCATGAGTATGTATTATCATACTAGGGTTATTTGTTTGGGGATAGGCAAGAAGGGGGCTAATGTAGAAGGAAGATGGGGAGCCAAACAGAACAAAAAAAGACTGCAACGTATGACATGATCACATTTAATATTTATATTGCCATTATATATGTACTGGGGTTAAATCTTTATAATACACATTTAAAGAAAACAAAATTAAAATAAATGATTTCAGCATTCAAGTCAATAAGCAAAACTAGATCAGCAAAATGAACCAAAGGAAATCAGGAAGAAGGAATGAATTAATGAAAGTAAAGGCAGAAATTGACAGAAACAAAAGATGGTTCCTGACAAGATCAACAAAATTGAGAAACTTCCTAGAAACATTATTTTTAAGAGAGTGAAAGAGGACTTACACAATATAAGAATGAAAAAGGAAATATAATTACAGACACTGAACAGTTGAACAACATCACAAGACTAGTATGTGACTTGATAGCAATACATTCTCAAATCCAGAAAAATCTAGATTGCTTTCTAGAAAAATATATATAACCAAATTTGACTGAAGAAGAGGCAGAAAAATCCAAATAAATCGATGATCATAGATAATATTGAAAAAATCATTTAATACTAGTCTCCCAAAATGTACTGGAACCCAAAAAAGATGAAAACCTTCTGAACTCATGGCTAATACCATTCTTAAACCAAAACTGGGCAAAGGTATCAAAACTGCACCACACCCACACAGAACTAAAGACTAAAGTTGTGTGTAATACTGATGGGATCTCGTTTTGTTTCTCTGTACGGAAGCTTGGAGGTAGGCTGAGGGAAGTTTTATTTTCTCTCAGGCTCCTTGCCTCTTCGTTCTCCCTCTACTGTCTAGTTTCCAAAGTGGCAGCATGTGACAAAGAGAAGCAATGGACAAAACATAACAACATATCCACAAATAGTTCAGATCTGTGAAAAGGACTGGCAATAAGCACGCATACCTTACCTCAATAGTGCTTTTTCAGTGCTTAACTACCATCACAACCATCCTAACCTGACGTCTGCACCTTCCTCCAAACAGTCACATCCTCACAATCCTGACCGGACCCTATAGAACATGCCTTTACCTTGTGTCCACGTGCAGCTCACTGAGCAGTTCACTTTGCATATAGTCCCAGGACAGTTCCACTGCACCCAGGTAGTATCTTCTGGTGGCACTAAAGCTGAATGGCAAAAGGCACAGAAAGAAGCAGGTAGAGAGTTCTGTTTGCATGGCTCGTATTGCTAGAAAATGTTCAACTGGAGAAACAAAAGATTAATTCTTCTCTAAAATATCTTCAGCTCCCAGGAAAAAAAAAAAGGTAAATTTTCTGATTTAGTGAAAAGTCCCAAAATTTTTGCTGTGAATTTTAGGGAACTTTACCTGCTGGATGTTACAGCAGCATTAGCAGTAAGCAGTAACAGATAAGACTGCTTCCTTTTTAGCAGTGGAAAGCAGCCACAGGAAAAGAGAGGTGGAGCTAAATCTTAACCCATTCACTTTTGAGAGTACTAAGGGCACAAGAATGCTGCTTTCATCAGAACCTTTAAGGAAAGGAAGAGAGAGAGGGAGAGGTCAAGGTGAAGAGGAGCAGCAAAAGAAGCTCTGGATGTTGGAAATTCTGGAATCCACTTGCACAAACAAGAGTAATCAGTATTCTAATAGTCTCCCTGTTTCTACCCTTGCTCCTCACACAGCCACCGAGTGACTTTTTAAAACCATGAAGTAGATCGTGTCACTCCTTCACTCAGAACCCTCCACTGGCTTCTGACCTCAGAGTAAAATCCTAAGTCTTTACCATGGCCTAGAGCATCTCCCATGATCTGCACATCCTTTTCCTTCAGACCTCTGTGGTCTCACGTCACTATGGCTACTGGCCTTCTTGCTCTTCCTTAAAAACCAAGCACACTCTTGCACTTAGACCTTAGCACTTGCTATCCCCTTTACTTGAAACATCTTTCCCCCAGATCGCCACACATTTCCACTTTCACATCTCCTTCAAGTCTTGACTCAAATCCTGCCTTTGCAATGAGCTTACATTGTAAGCTCTCTACCCCCACTGGCACTACTGATATCCCTCCTGGCCTCATTTTTCTATGCAGCACTCATAACCAATCAGCATTCGCGTATTTATTTATATTGCATTGTCGTTACCTGATGCTTAAGGTTGTTTGTTTGTCCCAGGTATAGGATAGATCTCCTTACATCAATATGTAGCCCTGCTGAGCTCAAGCAGAGCCCCTACTCAGGTTAATGTTTATCAGGGGAAATGAGGGCCTCAAAGTATAGGAGATAATAAGAAGAAACTTGACCAGGGTTGCTATAAAAAATGTTATCATCACTAAGAGTCCAGTTCTGCAGAAATATGAATGTGCCTGGGAGCAACTGGTGAGGTGTTTGTTGTCCAGCCTGGAAACAAGCAGGAAGAAGTCCCTTTCATAAACATTTGCTGAGACCTTCTCTCTGTCACGCACCACAATGCAGAAATAATAGCTGGCATGTACTATATGCCAGGAATTGTTGTAAGTTACTTTAATGCAGCTGCTATTCTTGTCTTCATTTTACAGGTGATGAAACTGAAGCACAGAGAGGTTAGGCAACTTGGCCAAGGTCACACAGTTTGCAAGTGGTAGCATTCCAACCCATGTTATCCGACTCCACACTTCATGCTCCAAACTCCTATGCTATACTTCCATGCACTGGGTACACAGCATTGAAAAATACAAGCAACTGATGTAATTAATACTTATCACACATAAGTACCTCATACAGTATGTCATAAGGTGAAATAAGTGCTGTGCACAAAAGGAAAGTAAGGGGAAGGCGGGATATACCAGGCTGCAATTTTAAAGGAGGATGGTCATGGAAAATCTCACCAAGTAGGTTACAGTTCAGCAAAAGGAGTTTGGCTTCTCCACTGAGGACAATAGAGAGACATGGTAGGCTTCTGAGTAGAGGAGGGCTGTGATCAGAATTACCTTTTAGACAAATCTTTCTGGCTGAGGTGGAGAGAACAGACTTTAGGCGGATAAGGGTAGGAACTAGGAACAGGTCGACCTGTTAACTTTGGGCAAGAAATGATTGTGAGTTGGGCTAAGATGATAGCACTGGAGGGTGACAAATGGCTGGATTCACTGTGAAGCGGTATCTATGGGGCTTGCTGATGAACTGGATTTGTAGCATTGAGAGAAGCGTTCAAAAATAAGACCAAAGTTTTTGGAATGGTGAACTTGCCATTAACTGGGATAGCGTGAGAGCGAGAGGAGTAGCTTAGGGGTGGGGTGGAGTGGGGAGACGTGCCCTGAAACATAGTTAAATGGCTCCATAGGCATTCTTACTTATTGCAAGTTTTTTTTTTTTTAAGATTTTATTTATTTATTTGAGAGAGAGAGAGAGAATGAGAGACAGAGAGCACGAGAGGGAAGAGGGTCAGAGGGAGAAGCAGACCCCCTGCTGAGCAGGGAGCCCAATGCGGGACTGGATCCCAGGACTCCAGGATCATGACCTGAGCCGAAGGCAGTCGCTTAACCAACTGAGCCACCCAGGCGCCCCTGCAATGGTTTTTTAAGTGACTTTATTGGAACAAAGTCGGGCACATAGCAACCACTGATAAATATGTGCTCAACGTTTACATGAACTAACACCGCAAGCCAGCTTTATTTTTAAATAAAGTAATGGGTAAAAGAGTCCTTACTAGGGAACGGCAAGGTGGCGGTCGCATCTCAAGAAATCTTCCAGGTGAGAACCTCCATCAGAGCAGGCTCTCTGCGCACGCGCGTCTCGGCGCACCCGCTGGGCGGGGCCGCGGAGCCTTGTGACGCAGCTACGCGTGGGGGTGGGAAGTGACTGTTAGGCTCCCGGCCTGCTCTCTTCCGCTGCCGCCGTGGGAATGGAAACATCTGCCCCACGTGCCGGAAGCCAGCTTGCGGCGGCGACGGCGCGCCACTCCGCGTCCTACCGCGCCAAAACCCTGCGGGTGTCATCGCGAGACGAACTCGCCGAAATGGCCGCATCCAGTCAAGGTAAGGAAGGGCGCGCGCAGCGCCGGCGCCACGGGGAGCCGCCTTTCTCAGCTCCGGAAGGGGAAGGGCTCCGCGCCTGCGGGTCCCAGCAGAGTTCCCCCGGGAGTTCTGGCAGTGCACGGGCGGGGAGGGCGTGCCAGTCTCGCCCCCTGACCCAGCCGCTCCCAGGGTCCGGCCAAGGTCAGGCGCCAGGCTGGGACCGAATTGCCCCGGGGTGTTGTCTCTGGTTGGGCTCAGTCGGCCTTCCGGCGCCGCCCCGAACGGCCTCAACCCGGAGATGTTCTGTCCTGGTTCTCGGAAGCGCTCTGGCACTTTCAGACTAAGGCGACTTCTTTTGACCCTTTGCACGTTCATCTCAAACACCTGGCAAAAGCCTCTTCTGTGTGCAAAGGAGCCTTCTCTTATGCTGTTGATGGTTTTGAAAGAGTAGTACACATGGAACTGTACTTTGAAATAGTTTTTTTTAATTCAGTCCGCGTAGTCAAAGAAGATGTCCTATAATAAAAAACACAGAGGAGCATGACTTTAAATCATGTTTCTTTCCCTACTAATTACCTTGCTTCAGGTTATATTCAATTCAGGATTGGTTCACAAGATCCCATTGCTAAACACAGCCATCATCGAAAACCCAATTATATAAACCTAAAATTACTTAAATTATGTTAAAAACAAAGGCAGTGAAGATATTCAGAATTCATCACTTCTTAATTGTCTGCTATGGTATGCTGTCATCTATGCTCTTGATATTATTTACATCTGTGCTGTCCGTGTGATGGAAATAACAGTGTGGTATGCTACTGTGCATCTTTTTCCAACCCTGCGTTCAGTGATGTCACAGTTCCATGATGTCACACTCGCAGGGAGTGAATACATCTGGAAATTGATGTACACTAGAGATCACCCCCAGCCGGTTGTTAATCATTGACCAGCACCCCACCGAATTTAAGTGACTAAGGGGTTGGAATGCACAATGTAATTATTTTCTTGCGGAGTACATTGCCTTCATTCACTTAAAATATATAGGTTGATTAGATATTTGCTTCTAGGAAATGGTTGTTAGAAATTTTGAGGTTGGCATCATGAATTTCAATCTTTATCATGGTGATGAACACATAATACTGTGATAATTGATTTCCTGGACCCATAAACAAGGCTAAATGACTTTTGTCTACATACTGGTTCACAGTGTTTGTTGAATAACTGAAAGAAGTTGGATGAACTAAACGTCTCTGAATTGATCCCCCTTTTGACTGGAGCCTCCTATTGAGCTTAGGGGCTTGGTAAAATTACATTAAAACAAAACTCAGGGGCGCCTGAATGGCGCTGTGGGTTAAGCGTCAAACTCCTGATTTCAGCACAAGTCAGTGATCTCGGGTGAAATGAGCCCTGAAATCCAGCCAGCAGTGCGTCCATCCCTGTGCTCAACAGGGAGTCTGCCAGAGATTCTTTCCCACTCCCTCTTCCTCTGCCCCTTGCCCGCCCCTCTCTAAAATAAATATATCTTAAAAAAAAAAAAAAAAACCCCACAAACCTCAAAACTCATTCTTGGTGGGTTTTTTTTTTTTTTTTTCCATTCTTGTTTTCAGTGATATTCTTTAACCCAGGGAGAGAATTTCTTCTTCAACACAGCAGTAATGTTTTAATGTTCTTTTGTACTGGTGTCTAATGTTACATTAGAAAAATAATTTTCATGTAACTACTTGTGAACCCATAGAATACCTACTTCCTCAAACATTCATATTTTGGTTCTGCTAAATTGGGATCTATGATCCATGTTGAATTATATTTTGTGTATGATGTAAGGTAGGGATTCCATTTTTTTTAGTACAGATACCTAGTAGTTCTAACACAATTTGTTGAAAACACTCTTTCCCTATTACGTTGCCTTGGTGCCATGTTATTGAAAATCGAACGTGTACATCTACTTGTGGACTCTGTATTCTCTTCCATTCATATATGTGTGTCAGTTCTACACTGTCAAATATGGTTGCTTTATAAGTCGACGTTAGGTAGCTGTATTCCACTGTAGCTTTGTAATAAGTCTTGAAATTCCTTGAACTTTGTTCTTTTTTGTTGTTGTTGTTAAAGATTTATTTATTTATTTGAGAGAGAGAAAGCGCGCTCCAGCAAGCAGGTGGGAAGGGGGGAAAGGAGTACGTGGGGAGGGGCAGATGGGGAAAGAATCCCAAGCCGCCTCCTCAGTAAGTGTGGACTCCCACACGGGGCTCAACCTCACAACCCTGAGACCATGCATGACCTGTGCTGAAACCAAGAGTCAGAGGCTTAACAGACTGGGCCACCCAGGCACCCCAAACTTTGTTCATTTTCTCCAAAACTGTTTTGACCACTTGTGGCACATTGTATTTTCCTAAATGATTGCAGCAGTATCTTTCATTCCACCTGCTCTTTTCTCAGTGTGACTTTGACACTGCTCCCACTCGGTGATGGGATCTATATATTCCCTCTTGAATCTATGTGGGAGTTTGTGACTGATTCTACAGAATGTGGTGGAAGTAACACTGCATGGCTTCTGGGGCTAGGTCTTAAATAGTTAACAGCTTCTGCTTCGTCCTCAAGCTGCCTCCCTGATCTCTCACTGTCTCCCTTGGGATGCACCCTTGCGCCTAGGCACCATGCTGTAAGGAAATCCAAATTAACCCACATAGAAAGGCAGCCTGTGTATGTGAATGTAGGAGATGATTCCAGACCTTCTGCCTGTAAGTCTTCCAGCTGAATCCTCAGACATCATGGAATAGGAATGGACTGTAATGCCATATTCTGTCTGAATCATGATCCACAGAATCTAAGAGCATAATAAATTATTGTTTAGCTCCATGACATTTTCGGGTAATTTGCCATAGTAACTGGAACACTACTCTAGGTAGTCCTTTGCATCTCCATATAAATTTTAGAACCAGCTTGTCAATTTCTAAATAAAAACGTACTTTTTGACTGGGATGGCATTGAGTCTGTAGATGGATATGGAGAGTGAACATCTTAAAAATACTGCCTTGCAAAACAAAGTATATATCTCCATTAATTTCAGTCATCTTCACTTTCTCTCTGCAGTGTTTTGTTCTTTACAGTGTAGAGGTCTTGTGCATCATTCATTAAATTTATCCCTACATTATCTTCCCACAGAGAAAGGGATTAGACATTTTGTTAATTCTTTTTCCTTTCTTGGGCAAATCACTTAACCTCTGAGCCATTTCTTAATTATAAAGTGGGATTAATAAATAGTACCTTGTTTTGTACCTACTATGTTCTGTGGATTTAATTAAGTATACATGTTTATTGTTTAGCACATTGCCTGGTAAATAGTAACAGCTCAATTGAACATTACCTTTTATCTTTATTATCAGTGGAGATCCATATAGTGGTAAGAATTTGTGAGCTAAATAGTATTGACATATTCTTGAAAAGGCGAGGCAAATGAAGAAAATCCATTTCATTTAGGATACATTATTATTACTATCAGATTTTATACATCCATTGGTTGTTTTTAAATTTGAGAGGAAAAACTAGAGTACTAATTCTAAATTGTGTAGTTATTTTTTTCTCTAAGACAGATATTATTTGTTGATTTTAGTCTGATTTTCAAGTCGATAGCCACAATTTCAGAGTTAATTTGCCATTTAAAATAGAATATTTGCAGGTTCTTACTACAATACCCATTTCCTTAAAAATCTCTTAATCTAGTTAAGAACTGTGATTTATTGTAAAAGTAAATATTTTCTTATTCAGTATCTTAATTCTTGTAGGAAACTTTGAGGGAAATTTTGACTCACTGGACCTTGCAGAATTTGCTAAAAAGCAGCCATGGTGGCGCAAGCTGTTTGGGCAGGAATCTGGGCCCTCAGCTGAAAAATACAGCGTGGCAACCCAGCTGTTAATTGGAGGTGTCACTGGATGGTAAGTGATGAGAAAGATGTCCAGTGTCTTTTTTTGCATGATTTAGTATTGCAGTTACAGGAACAATCTCCTTAACTAATGAAAACACAATTGACTTGTGAAATTGATCACTTAATATGTAGCATTCATCTAAACATAATATTTATTATATGCCAGGCACTATTTTGAGTATTTATGTATTTCATTTCCTTCTCACAACAACTCTGAAATTGGTACTGGATTGACTATCCTCATTTTTCTTCCAGTTTTATTGAGAAATAAATATACCTCACTGTATGTTTAAGGTATACAGCATGATGATTTGATTTACATATGTTGTGAAATGATTCCCGCAGTAGGTTTAGTGAACATTCATCATCTCACACGCATACAATAAAAAGAGAAGAAAAAAATTGTCTTCTTGTGATTAGAACTCTCAGAATCTACTCTCCTAACCATTTTCTTATATACCATATGGCAGTGGTTGCTGTGGTCATCACATTGTACATTACCTCCCTGATACTTACTTCTAAGTGGAAGTTTGTACTTTTTGACCACCTTCATCTAATTCCCCCTCTCCCAACCTCTTGCCTCTGGTAACCACAAATTTGATCACTTTTTCTATGAGTTTTGTGTTTGTTTTAGATTGCATATATAACTGAGATCATACAGTATTTGTCTTTCTTTGTCTGACTTCTCACTCAGCGTAAGTTCTTCAAGGTCAATCCACGTTATCACAAACGGTAGAATTTTGTTTTTTATGGCTGAATAATATTCCATGGTGTGTGTGTATATATCACATGTTTATCCATTCACCCACTGATGTACGCTTAGGTTGTTTCCATGACTTGGCTATTGTAAATAGTGCTGCAATGAATGTGGGGGTGCAGATATCTTTTTGAGTTAGTGTTTTTGTTTCCTTTAGATATATTCCCCGAAGTGGAATTGCTGGATCCTCTATGATAGTTCTATTTTTAATTTTTTTTTAAGATTTTATTTATTTATTTGACAGCACGAGTAGGCAGAGAAGCAGGCAGAGGGAGAGGGAGAAGCAGACTCCCCCCTGAGCAGGGAGCCTATGTAGGGTTCTATGCCAGGACCCCGGGATCACGACCTGAGCCAAAGGCAGATGCTTAACCAACTGAGCCACCCAGGCACCCTGTTTTTAATTATTTGAGACACCTCCATATGGTTTTTCACAATGGCTGTACCAACTTACAGTTCCACTAAGAGTATATAAGAGTTCACTTTTCTCCACACCAAGAAGTAGAGAACACAAAAAATACACAAATATTTTAGTATTTATATAGATATCTCATTTTCTTCTCACAACCACTCTGAAATTGGTACTGTAATTATGCTCATTTTATAGGAACTTAGGCTCAAAAGGCCCAGGACCACATGGATAGAAAGTGGTATAATTAGGAGCTAGCCAATAACTTCCTCAATTGTGACACAGATAATAACTTCCTCAATTGTAACACAGCTTATGGCGTCATTTGTAATAAATTCAAAAAGTTTAATAGCAGATTTAGTGAGGAATATATAATGCATCAATTTCATCTCCACTTTTTACATTTAAAAATGTTATTGTACAAAATAAGTACAGAACAGTACATATGTGTACATTTTAATGAATATATATAGAGCAGACACCTATGTAACAACCACACAGGTTAAAAAAATGTGATTAGCACCCCAAAAACTCTAGAGATAAATGCTGTACTGATTATTATGCAGTTCTTTGCTTTTCTTTGTAGTTTTAACACCAATTCTATCAGTGAATGATGTACTATAGTTTACCTGCTTTTGAACTTTAAATAAATGCAATTATGTGTATTCTTTTGAGTCTTACCTTTTTTGCTGGATTTGTTTTGTATGTAGTTGTAGTTTCTTTGTTTTCATTTATATATAGAATTTCATTGCATGAATATACCACAGTGTTTTTACCCAGGTGATGACTGACATTTGAGTTGATTCCATTTTTGGCTAATTTAAACAGTGCTGATATGAACACTGTATAAATTTCCTGGTGTGTATATACGCACATTTTTGTATGGTCTATACCTAGGAGTTGAAATGCTAGGTCATGGGACATAACTATCTTTGGCTTTGCTGGGTAATGTCAAACTGCTTTCCAAAAGCGGTTGTAACAGTTTACCCTCCCAACAACAAGGATTGAGTGTTCCTGATGCTCTACATTCTTGTAAGCACTTGATATTGCCAGACTTAAATTTTTGCTCGTCTGATAGTTGTATCTCACATGGTTTTAATTTACATTTTCCTGAGTAGTGGTGATATTGAATAACTTTTACCTATGTTTCTTGACCATTTTCGATCTCTTCTTTGATAAAGTCTCATTTTTAATCTTATGTAATTTTTCTGTTATTCTTTTTCTTACTGAGTTATAAGAGTTCTTTATATATTCTGAATAGGAGTCCTTTGTTGGTTGTACATTTTACGAATATTTTCACTCATTCTCCATTCTGTGATTGTCTTTTCATTTGCCTTTTGGTATCTTTTGATGAACTGATCTTATTTTTAATGTCAATTTTATTGATCTTTACTTTTAGGTTAGTAATTTTTGTGTCCTGTTTAAGTAATCTTTGCCTCCCCATATGCTAGAACTTTATTACTTTACCTTTCACATTTACATTTATAAATCCACCTGGAATTGTTTTTTGTGTTTAGTTTGTAGTAGATTCCTCCTCCTTTTTTTTTTTT